AAGTGCTGGGATTACAGGCATGCACCACTGTACCTGGCCAATGCAGTTTCTTTATGTCCACTGAACAAACATTTCCTGTCAGCTGCTGTTACCTGAGCTGTTCTCTTACCTTTCTTTTCTTTGCCACAGAACTTTTGCTGCTACTTCTGGGAAAGAGCATGGCTTCTCACCTCACCAAGCACTGGGTGATGGTAATACCAAAATAAAGTGGAAATGTTCCTGCCTAGGTCCCTGCCAGCACTGGTCTCCTGACAGGTAGCATCTCAGGGCCTGTCCAAATCTTCTCACTCCTCACCACAGCTTCTTTCTGGTGTTGTGGGAAAACTTGGGAAGACTGGCTGTATCTAAATTTTCATTGTGAAGACAGAAAATCTATCTGTCTAAATCAAATGCTTGTCTTACTTGGTAAGGTGTAAACTAAGAAGAGATAGTCTTCTTTGTAAGAAGAGAAAACAAAGACCCACAATAATACTTAAAACCCAAAAAAACCTGACGGAAGAAATAAAAATAAGTCTAAGCAAAAGAACCTATTTTTTAAATGATCTCACAGCAGGGTTTCTAAAAATTTTTTTGTCTTAAACCCTCTGGCAGTCTGATGAAGGTTTCTCGGAATTAGTTTCTCACAACAGAAACGAATTATATTGAAATACAATTATCAAGACATTAAGAAATCCTTGGGATGTGGTAACATATGTGCTGCCTTATTAATGCATGAAATAACAGTTGCTAGTGGTAGGTTTAATTATTAACATAATTTCTAAGCAGTGATGATATCTGTAACTAGGTAATGTGATATGAAAAAAATCAGTGATTTTTACTGGCAAGACAGACACAGATGCTATTAATATTATAGTTATCTGTTACCTACATTCATAATTGAAAGAAATGCTAAACATTGAGGTTAGTGAAAATAAAACTATAATTTTATTCTTATTCAAGTTTGCAGTTCTCTGAATTTTCTCTGTAGACCTGGACAAGGCAGCTGGAGGCACAGCTTCTCTGGCAGAGAGAGAGGCAGAAGCAAATGGCCTGTGGCAGCATGGTCTGACCTCTCTCTAGACCTACTCTTTCCCCAAGCCACGCCCTAGAGGAGCTGTGAGAAACCAGCTCCAGGGTTTCTCAGAAGACAGCTTGAAAACCACTCATAAAGAGGTTTATCATTTAGCCTGCTAGTAATATCTGTGCAAGAGCACACCTATGCCTATTTTCCCAACCTCCCAGCCTAACCTCTATATATCACATAAAGTCCAGAATTTCATTTTACTGTATTTTTTATTATCTTATTTAAGTTTTCTTTATTTGTCACAGCCCTACAGTATGCCTAGTTTTCTTATTTTGTTTATTTTACTTTGTTTTAACCTTGTTGCTATTTTAATCACTTTTACTCTTGGTTCTTGGTTTATTTTCCTGTTACATGAATATTATCAGCTTTTTGGTTTTTTTCTTTTTTGGCTAATGAATATAGTTTCTGGTATTGCCTTAATCGTTTTTAGTTCATGTTATTCTTTAGTTAGAGCTTCACCCTTTCCTTTGCGTTTTCATTTTTTATTTATAAACAGAAGGCAGAAGTTGATCATAGGATTGCCAACTCCCAGAGAACAGACCATGGCCCAAAGAAAAGTACTTAGAAATTTGTTCTCCCTCCTGCTCTCTCAACAGCATTCCTTTCTATCTCTCCTTAAAATATCTCTTCAATGTTGAAGTCCCTAAAAAGCCCATGCACTTTGGGAGATTCAGAACTTCAAATCTTCTGTTGGGATGATAAGGTGATAATAAGCTGGCAGGTACCAGCAGTACCCTGAGCTGCTGGAACTTGAAACTGTTTACTTGCCTAATGCAATGGCAGAAGCTCAATCAGCTTTTCACTGATCATTCAAGGTTTCCAACTTCTTTGGCTCTAGACTTTACATAATCATTGCGGAAATCTGATCATTATAAGAGGAGAAGATGTAGCAGCTACACTCCTCCTGCTAGCATAGCCTGGTGTCGACAGGCCACAGCAGCAATAGAGTTGAACCAATGCAAAAGTTCTCCTGTGGGCTTCACTGTTAAAGATGGAAGTCCTAATGACAGGCCTGCAAGCTGTGAGTTGTCAAAATTAAGAAGTTCCTTCTTCATTTCCTCACCTAAGACCTGGAATTTAAGTTTACTCCGAGCTGTCTAAAGTCATCCCATAAGGAGGTGTTACGTATCATGAACTGGTAGAAATACCACACAGCAGTAGGTTCTTGGTGCCTTCAGGATTAACATCCCTAATTTTGATTACTTGGGAAAAACCCCAAGAGTTTATAACTTGTAATTTTTAATTTTGCTAAGGCATAAGTATGTTCTGTATATTCTCTAAGGCTGGAAAGCAAAAGTGAGGCACTTAGCTAACCAGAGAACCCAGCCAATCTCCATTGTTTCAATTCAGCTTTGTAGAGTTCTACCTAGATTCGTATATTCACAAGCTCATGAAGTCATAAAAACATTTCTGTCTTTAAAAAAAGTAATAGATAGGAGATAAGAAAGTCAATTTTCTTGGTAATGAAAGGGAGGAGAAAGAACTAAGTAATAAATCATAGCTAAAAAATTAGTTTTTAATAAAGGAAAGGATGGGATGTCCAATTAAACACTGGCTGAGATTTATCATGGACAAGAGTCCTTTATTTGATCTACATGGAATTAGGACATAGTGATTTTATGAAACTTTCAGCTATACCCCAGGTCACACAAAACTGAACATCATGTGAAGAATTAATCATAGAATGTCTTAAAGACAGAACTTCAACTCTTCAGTAATACTTTAATATATGAGGACAGGGAGAATTATTCAACATTAGATATCCAGCACCCAGGATGGGGCCTGGGCACATAATTGGTGCTCAGTAAATACTTATGGAAATGCTGAGTCACTGAAATCAATTATATGCTACAGAAGTACTTATGTATTTGGAACATACTTCTCCCAGCACTATGGCACTATATCTCACAGGATGAAATTCTGAAAAACAGTTTATATTTAGAAACTGAAACTATGTTCTGCATTTTGCTATAACCAAAAATATGAGAACTGGCCAGATGCCAGCCCAAATACACCCTTCACCATGGACCAAAAATAACTACCAAAGCAGCACCACAGTCACAAAGAGACACTAAGGAAGGAAGGGCCAGCTCTCATCAAGGGCTCCATTTATCTTTATCCTAATGAAGAGGGCACTTATAACTAAGATCACTTGCAACTAAGTTAGGACCTAGAATTTCAACTTAGGACATTATTAAAGCCAATCTTAGATTTAAAATAAATGCTTTTTAAGATGTGAAATCTTGCCTACTTGCGGTTTACATTTAAATAGAAAACACCCAAAAAGTGGTAGCATCTACCCAATTCAGAAATTTTAAAAAAGCCTCATTATTTAGCAAAATCAAAGAAAAGAAAAACGAATAAATTTTCATTAAAATATAGTAAGCTTTGAAAAATGCATCTAGAAAAAAACTACCCCCCAAAAACAACAACGAAAAATAAAAATGCATCTAGACAGATAACTAAAAATTCTCTTGATCAAAACAAGCAAGATCAAATGGAAAACTCCAATGTAATACTTACTGGAAACATTTAAAATTTCAATCTGAGTCTATTTTTGGAACATAAGAATTGGAACAAATCATAAGTCAGATTTTAAAAACTGGAATCACAATAAAAATTTAGTTGTAAGGTACCATTCTGACAGATATTTGTTTGACCAGTTCTTTATTTATATGCATTAGGTTTTTTCAGTCTTTTGCTACCATAGATGATGATGTACTGAACATACTTCTTGTACACATGGGTGAGTTTTGTGAGTGTTGACAATAGAATTGTTTGCAGCTATGAGAATGAATGAAGTAAACGTGTTAATGTAGGAAAGGTTTTCAAAGTGATAATTGAAGGCCGGGCGTGGTGGCTCACACCTGTAATCCCAGAACTTTGGGAGACCGAGGTGGGCAGATCATGACCTCAGGAGTTCAAGACCAGCCTGGCCAACATAGTGAAACCCCATCCCTACTAAAAATACAAAAATTAGCTGGGTGTGGTGGTGCGTGCCTGTAGTTCCAGCTATTGGGGAGGCTGAGGCAGGAGAATTGCTTGAACCCGGGAGGTGGAAGTTGCAGTGAGCCGAGATTGTGCCACGGCACTCCAGTTTGGGCAACAGAGCAAGACTCCATCTCCAGAAAAAAACCAAAAGCAAAACAAAAAAAAAGTGTTAATTAACAGTAGGTACCTAACAGTTCATATAGGGTATAATTCCACCTGTAAAAAGAAAAAAAGGGAGAGAAGAGATAGATTGAGTAGTATCTCTAATTTGAAAAGCTCCAAAATCCAAAATTTTTTGAGCACAAACATGATGTTCAAAGGAAATGCTCATGGAAGCACTGTGGATTTTCAAATTAGGGGTACTCAAACAGTAAGTATAATGCAAATATTCAAAAAATCTATAAAAATCCCAAATCCAAAACATTTCTTGTCCCAAGCATTTTAGACAAGAGATACTCAACTTGTGCGTGTGTGTATAAATTTTCACTGATCAGATTGGCAAAAAAATGCAAACGTGAAAATACCTAACCATTGGCCAAGCAGTAAAAATACGTATCTCTCATACATTGCTAGTGGGAATGTAAGCTGATAAAACTTCAATGGAAAGCAATTTGTCAATAGCAATTAAAACTATAAATACATATACTCATGAAAATTAGGTGCAAAATTACATACATACAAGGTTATCAATTATAACACTGTATACAATACAAAAAAGAGAACAACATAGAGGTCCATCAATCGGGAACTGGTTTAAATAATAAACTCACAGTATGGAATAGGATGCAGTTATAAAAAATGAGACATCCTCTATATACTCATATGAAAAGATCTTTAAAATATAAACTTAAAAGGTATCAAAATTATATATAGCATGTATCAACTTTTATGTAAAAAAGGGGTGTGAAATCACAGAGTACATAGCTAAATCAAATGGAAAACTTACTTGTAAAGGTAATACTCTGCATGATCTATCTCTTCCCGAGAAGAAATGTTGTCTACAAACTAAAAGACAGAAAAACAAACCTTTGGTTGAATATAAATTATGTCGTATATTTGGCCTAGGGTCTAGATCACGCATTAACCTTAGAAAACACAGAACACCCATTTTATTGGAATGATGGTGATGCTTGGTAGAACAATGTTCGCGTGGTATGGCTCCATCCTTGAAACCCCTTTATGCTAATGCAAACAAAGAATATATAATGGCTTCTCTTTTTCTATATGTAGAACAACTTTGATCAGAAAATGGAATGAAAGCCAAACATAAACCTTGCTCAGAACAAGAGGAGAGTGTTCCATTGATTATATTTATAACGTTACCTATTTTTTCCTTTATCTTTAAACTCCGTTATTTTCTTTATGTTCTAAACATGGGAACATATGGCTGAAAGAATGAAGACTCTGATGGCTAAAAAAATGTTGCCCAGAACATAAACATCTAAATTTAGAAAACTCAGTCTCGCAACCATTTTTCCTACTCTGATTTAAGTTCTGCTATGCAACAGTAAAATTATGATTCCTTTACCAACAAACTCTCCCTTAAACTATAAAATCTCTGAATATGCTCATTAACTATGGTCCAAATAAACAAATAAAAATGATTATTCCAAAGATAGATTCCATTCTAAAGCAGAGATTCAGAGGCAAAAAAGAAAAAAAAAATGAGAAGACAATGCATGTTGTGAATATAATGAAAACCTCATTATATAGAAGGAGAAGAGAGTAAAAAGGGAGAAATTTTCTAAAAATGTCTAGTACTTCTGGATTTGACTTAGAAATCTATTAAGGGCATATAAAATGTGGTTCAACACAAAACCTGAGCTTGAGAAACAGCTCTGATTGTTTGCTGTATGGCATAAACAGATGGCATAGCCCCTCTGGGATTTGGTTGCTCCATCTGCATAAATAGGATAAAAGTGCCGGCCCTGAAGAGTATAAGGCTCCAATGAGAAAATGTCCATAAAAGCTGTAAATCTTTGAAGTACACTTAAATAAATACCAGGTATTATGGCATATAGAAATTTTACCCATCATGTAAAGGATAAATCAATGGCCTTTCCATTCTCCTCCAGTATGCCAATTATGAGTCTATTAAATGTAACTTATGACTAGTAAAATTGTTTCTCAACTAAAAGGCAGAAAGAAAGGACCAGGACTCAAAACAAAGGTAATTTCTTTCCTCTCTTCCAGATGTAAGAATACTTTAAATTTTATGGTGCCATTAATTTCCATAAAAAGTTTTCACAGCTAAAATCTTATTTTAGCATCATATTATCCCTGGGAGGAAGATGAAACTGTACCCATGATGAAAATGAGGAAATTGAGAGGGGCCTCATTGCCAAATGTCATAAAGTGAATTCATGATAAAGACAAGCCCAAGCTGGGCGCGGTGGCCCAAGCCTGTAATCCCAGCACTTTGGGAGGCTGAGGCGGGTGGATCATGAGGTCAAGAGATCGAGACTATCCTGGTCAACATGGTGAAACCCCATCTCTACTAAAAATACAAAAAATTAGCTGGGCATAGTGGCGCGTGCCTGTAATCCCAGCTACTCAGGAGGCTGAGGCAGGAGAATTGCCTGAACCCAGGAGGCGGAGGTTGTGGTGAGCCGAGATCACACCATTGCACTCCAGCCTGGGTAACAAGAGCGAAACTCCATCTCAAAAAAAAAAAAGACAAGCCCAGATATATTTGAAGCAGGCAACAGAAGAGAACCTAGATATCAGAGTTTGAATCTCAGCTTTTCCACACTTATAAGCTGTGTGAACTTGAGAAAGATTAAACCATGTCTTACATAGACTGCTTATTGCATAGGGAGCAGTGAAAATTAACAAAAATAATGTACATTAAGGAACTAATACATTTAAAACTGGCACAGCAGGTGCTCAGTAATGGTTACTATTCCTGATTCCTAACCTAACATGCTTCCACCCATCACTCTGCTGCAGTTGAACGTTAACATTAATATCCATTCTTGTACAGACTTTCTTGGCCACCAAAAACACTTCCAATACTAAAATATCATTACTTTGAAGGATGTATCAACTTAAAAAAAATCATGGTATCATACAGCAGAAAATCATATTCAAAAATTAAAATAGACACAAAAAAGTGATTACTGATATCAGAATCTGGTAAATGTATTACCTTTTATTTCAGCCAAAGAAATTTGCCACTACACTATATCTATTAGTAACTATAAAAACATACCGTACTCTGGAAAAATATTTCCTATGAAATGTATTCTTTATTTACTTAGACTCATCTACATGAATGGCCTTTCTGGCTTTCTTCTTAGAAAATATATATGTTAATATTTTCTTACCCGTGATATTGTTAAAGAACTAACAGGCAACTTTCTCTGAAATGTTTTATCCATTAAAGATGCGAGATCAGCTGTGAAGACAAAAAAAGAAAAAGAACCTTGTTAAAGATACATACTTCTTAAAAAAAATCTAAGATACGATTCTTGCCAGATGGCCAACATTATGAAGTCAGTATTAAAACAGACGCTCTTTCTTGCTTTTTAGAAATTATTTTTATGTAAATTAAAGAGGAAAAAAGAATATTTATCCTCTAAAACATTTTTTAAAATGATGTAATTGGGTTGAGACTTTAAAAAAAACTTCATAGCATGTATTTAGCTTTTAAAAAATGGATCAAATGGCCGGGTGCAGTGACTCATGCCTGTAATCCCAGCACTTTGGGAGGCTGAGGCAGATAGATCACAAGGTTAGGAGTTCGAGACCAGCCTGGCCAATATGATGAAAATGACACCCCAACTCTAATAAAAATATAAAAATTAGCCGGGTGTGGTAGTGCACAACTGTAGTCCCAGCTACTCATGAGGCCGAGGCAGAAGAATTGCTTGAACCCACGAGGCAGAGGCTGCAGTGAGCTTAGATTGCACCACTGCATTCCAGCCTGGGCAAGAAAGTGAGACTCTGTCTCAAAAAAAAAGAAAGAAAGAAAGAATTTATGACTAGGCTATCAAAAGCATTGCAACAAAAACACAAATTGACAAATGGAACCCTAATTAAACTAAAGAGCCTCTGCACAGCAAAACAAATCATCAACAGGGTAAACAGACCATCTAGCGAATGGGAGAAAATTTTCACAAACTATGCATCTGACAAAGGTGTGACATCCAAAATCTGTAGGGAACTTAAAACAATTCAACAAGTGAAAACCAAATCGTCCCATTAAAAAACAGGTAAAAGATATGAATAGATACTTCTCAAAAGACATACAAGCAGCCAATAAACGTGAAAAAATGTTCAACATCACTAATCACCAGAGAAATGCAAATCAAAACCACAATGAGATATCATCTCACACCAGTCAGAATGGCTATTACTAAAATGTCAAAAAATAACAGATGCTGGCAAGGCTGCAGAGTTAAGGGATTGCTTATATATTGTTGGTAGGAATGTAAATTAAGTCAGCCACTGTGGAAAGCAGTTTGGAGATCTCTCAAAGAACTTAAAACAGAACTACCATTTGATCCAGCAATTCCATTAGTGGGTACATACCCAAAGGAAAATAAAACATTCTACCAAAAAGACAAATGCACTCAATGTTTACTGCAGCACCACTCACGCAAAAGACATGGAATCAACCTAGGTGCCTACCGATGGTGGATTGGATAGAGAAAATATGGCACATATATACCATGAAATACTACGCAGCCATAAAAAAGAATGAAACCGTGTCCTTTGCAGCAGCGTGGATGTAGCTGGAGGCCATTATCCTAAGTAAATTAACACAAGAACAGAAAACCAAACACCACATATTCTCATTTACAAGTGGGTGCTAAGCACTGGGTATACCTGAACATAAAGATGGGAACAATAGACACTGGGGACTCCTAGAAAGAGGAGAGAGGGAAGGGGGCAAGGGCTGACAAACTGCTTATACTTAGTACCTGGGTGATGGGATCACTTATACCGTAAACCTCAGTGTCATGCAATATACCCACGTAACAAACCTGCATATGTACTCCCTGAATCTAAAACAAAAATGGAAATAAAGAAGTCCAATATAATTAGCTCATGAAAGAAAATTAAAAAAGAGAAAAAAGGCCAGGTAAGGTGAGGGGTGGGAAGAGGATCAGTAAAATATCTTTGCAAAGAGACACAAGAAAGTGTTCTTTCTGATAGGTTCCAGAAAAAATAGAGATGATGGGAGAGCCAGGGAAGATGACTCTTCATTGCTTATTCATTTATTCCTTTTCTATTTTGATATATATTAGCTATATATCAGGTTATATATATATATTAGCTATTCAAAACATTTAAAAACTGTAAATTATCAAGTGACTTTTATGCCTACTCTGACCAAATCAGAGTAGCACTCTGGCTATCTTTAATGAGTTTTGGCCTGCACTATTCCTATTTTGGTTCTGTAGGTCAAGATGGCTAGGGGTAAACTTATGTTAATTCTAGCTAAATAATTATAAGCTTGCTTGGCTCAGAGTACACTTAAGTTTATACACCAAACTAACTATATTATTGGTACAGTTAATTAGAAATCAAGCGGCAACAGGAGGCCTAAGGTAAAGACCATCCAAGAGCACAGTAACACCAACACCTAGGGGTGGCTGCAGAGCAGGCATTACTGCTCTGGTCCCACGAAGGCCTTCGCAAGATGGAGACTGCATGAGGGTCTCCTAAAGACGGCTTATGCAAAGATCTCTGAGAAGGGAGGTGACATCTGCTCACAAGATCCAGGAGGGTCTTTGTAGAGGAGAGCTGGCAAAGAGGAGAAAAGCCTTGCAGGGCAGAGATCACAGAATGCCTCAGGCTCTGCCTAGGTTCTGGGAATATGGAGTGATTTTAATTGCTCTATGTCCTCAGTGCTTGGAAGACAAAAGCCCCTTGATGCATTGGGTATGGTCAGACAGGGTGGCTCCTCATCCTCTATACTTCAGAGGAAGCTGCATCCTAATAACAATCAGTGATAAACTCAGACTACTAGTTAAGCATGTCTTAGAAGCATCTCAAGTGCCCCCTCATCTTACCTACCCTTCACCCTCCCCTTCCACGCCCATAAACTCAATGAGATTATGCACATAATATAAGTGTTTGGAGCCCAGAGCTCCCGGCCAATGTGGTTCCTATGCTTGTGGTCCCCTGGACCCATGCTGTAATTTCTACTCTTGTGTCTCTGTCTTTATTTCCTTTCTCAATCCCTTGTCACCACTGGGACTAAGGGCACCCACGTACGAGGTTGGGGCTGGTACCCAACAGGTTCCTTTTAGCAGAACATCCTTAGGAATACTTGGTATTTCTGAGATCACACTTTTATCATAGAGTCTAACAATATCTGAAATCTTAGGCAGCATACTCTCCAAAATGTTTCCTTCACATCTTGTCACTGCTTTTCAAATTTACAATATCCTCTTTCCCCCTCTCCTAACATTCAGCTTATGATTTTTTTGTCTCATTTCACTGAGAAAACAGAAGCAATTCAAAGAGAACTTTATCCTTCTAGGATCATGTCTACCAGACTACTAGCATCTGTGCCCATATACTCCATCCTCTATTCTGTTATAAAGGATGAATGGTGTTAAACAAAAAAGCCCTCCCCTGCCCTCATATTTCCTAGTTATGTCTCCTTTTCTCAGCTCCTCTTAACAGCAAGACAGCTCAAAAGAGTCATCTCAGGGCTGGGCACAGTGGCTCACGCCTGTAATCCCAGCATTTTGGGAGGTAAAGGCAGATGGATCACCTGAGGTCAAGAATTTGTGACCAGCTTGGCCAATATGGTGAAACCCCGTCTCTACTAAAAATACAAAAAATTAGCCAGGCGTGGTGGTAGGCACCTGTAATCCCAGCTACTCGGGAGGCTCAGGCAGGAGAATCACCTGAATGTGGGAGGCAGGGGCTTCAGTGAGCCATATTGTGCCACTGCACTCCAGCCTGGGAAACAAGAGCAAAACTCCATCTCAGGAAAAAAAAAAAAAAAAGTCATCTCAGATACGGCTGAGCTCCCAGTCTTCAACACATTCTACTGACACCAATAACCATCTCCACACTGTTAAAATCCAGTGGTTAATACTGTTCTCATCTTACTTCTCACTAGCATATGATACAGCTGACCATTCTATCCTTCACAATATATTCTCTTTTTTCTCTCCTTCTTGTGTTCCTTTGCAGGATCTCCACTTCTTGACTTCTAAATGTCGGAGTGCCTCTACGTCCCCGTAGTAGACTGTAGACTTCCCTTCACCATCTATGCTCCGTCCCTAGGTGATCTCATTCTCTGCTACGGCTTTAACCATCACCTACAGAGAGTTGGCTTCACATGTACATACCTACCCTGACTTCTCCCTTTTAACTCCAGACTTGCATTTCCAATTGCATAGGTGATATCTCCATTTGGTTGCCTAACAGGCATCTAAACATCACATGTTCTCTTATTTCCTCAAATTTCCACTCTCAATCTGCTTTTCCCATCTCAGTAAATGAACACTATATTGTCTGGTTTACTCAAGACAAAAATGTAGGCATCATCCTTGACCCCATTCTTCTCACACTTTATAACCAAGTTGTTAGTAAATCCTATATGCTCTAGATTTGAAATATAAGTATATATTTCTCACCGCCACCACCACTAAGTCACCAATACCTCTTTTCTCCTGACCTTGTTTCAACTATTGTCCCCACCCTTATGATCTAATCTCCACCTAGCAGTCTGAGTGAGCCTTTTATTTTTATTTTATTTTTTTTTCATTTGAGACGGAGTTTCGCTCTTGTTACCCAGGCTGGAGTGCAATGGCGCGATCTCGGCTCACTGCAACCTCTGCCTCCTGGGTTCAGGCAATTCTCCTGCCTCAGCCTCCTGAGTAGCTGGGATTACAGGCATGCGCCACCATGCCCAGCTAATTTTTTGTGTTTTTAGTAGAGACGGGGTTTTGCTATGTTGACCAAGATGGTCTCGATCTCTTGACCTTGTGATCCACCCGCCTTGGCCTCCCAAAGTGCTGGGATTACAGGCGTGAGCCACTGCGCCTTCGAGCCTTTTAAAAGATAAATCAGTCAATCAGGATTAAAAACCAACAAATGCTAATCCGTGTTGTTTTTTCTGTCTCTCACACTAAAAATTAAAACCCAAGTAATTACTAATACACACATTCTCAGTCTCTAAAACAGTTCCATAAAAGGCACCTAGTAAATACCTAAAGAAATGAATCAAAGGACAAAAAGAAAAAAGTGATTGGGTTTCCAAGGTTTGTTTACTCTCTGGTGGAAGAAGCTGGTACAAGTAATAATGACAAACTCAGAAATGATCAAGTAATAAGTCTTTGTTGAAAACCTATTGTGCATTTAATCATTTTTTTCTTTCTTTTTTTCCTGCGGGATGGATCTCAATGACTCAGTAGCTACTGGAGGAAA